GCGGCGGCTCCGCGACTCGGCGCGCAGCTGTGCTTCCTCCAGCCTCTCCGCCGACCCTCCCGGAGCCAGTTCAGGTCTAAACATGGCCACACCGCCCAAGAGAAGCTGCCCGTCCCCCGCAGCCAGCTCTGAGGGGACCCGCATCAAGAAAGTCTCCATCGAAGGGAACATCGGTAAGGAGCCGCGGAGACGCTGGGCCGCGCGCGGGGCGGCCGGGGGGCCGTCGTCGCCTTGCTCTGCCGCTCCTCGGGCCGCCCAGTCCCCGGCGCCGTCAGGGGGGTGCCCCGGTCCGAACGCGCCTGCCGGTCTGCGGGGCGCGGCGGGGCCTGGCGGGGGTCCCGGGGTGGTGCGGCTGTGATCCGTGGCCCGCACGCCCCGCGCCCCTTTCCTGGCGCTCCCTGCCGTCGCGACCGGCCGCGTCTCCGATCCGCGCAGGCCCCTTCCCGCACCCTCCCCTCCCGCGGGGCCTGTCTCCGCGCGTCGCGCCCCTGTGGGAAGCGCAGACTGATGCGGTGGAGGAACGCGCGGCCTCTCGTCCCCGCGCGCGTTTGACGCGTCCCTAGTTTGCGTCCCAGAGAGCGCGCTCCGGGCGTTGGGGGTTCTCTGGGCACCTTCTGCCCCCGAGGACACGCTGGGCTGCGATTCTGGGAGCGCTGCCCTGACCCGAAAGAGAGTGAAAGGTTTTTGTTTCGGTCTAGACGGGGACAGGCCACCCGTGCGTGTCACTTTGCAGGCACCGGGCTGTTTCCGCACCCCGCCGGGCTTCCTGTGTTGACAGGTGTCCGGCCCCCCCTTCGGGCCCGGGCTCTAGCGCCGACCTGTAAGGGGAGGATGCGGTTAGGCGAACAGAGAACGGCCGCTCGCATCCTAGGGGAAGACGTTTTCGGAAACGCTGCACGGATGAGCCTCGCTTCACCGGCGGCGCGTGTGCGTTTGCAAGCAGGTGCCTCGAAGCCGCTCCTGGATGAGGAGGATCGGGAGACCGGAGGAGGCGGCGGGACAGAGCAGCACCGCTGGATTAACCGCCTCCTCTCTCAAATCCAGTTAGGCAGCGTGCCATATTTAGAAATCTGCTTTCCTTCAGGCATCTTCAGTCTTCCCAGCACCTGAAATAACTTTGCAACATATCACCCCATCTCTAGGGTTCCTGTATGCAAATATAATTGTGTTGTCTTAATATAAAATTCTCCACTGACTTCCTCATTTCGACAGCGACACCGATAGAAGTTGCAAACTGATGGCCTGCGTTTGCAGTATTGGCCTGCACACATCGAAAAAAAATTTTAATTTGTTACTAGCTTTAAAAAGTTTTGGGATTTCCTATAAACATCTAGATTATTGCCTTTTAAAACTTTGAAATTTTGGGGCCTACATTTCCTCTGTATGGCAACAGTTGATGTTTAGAGGGAGAATGTCCCTCACCATTTGTTGTCTCCTTTACAATAGGCTTTGTCAGTTGCTGTTTATTATTATTGCTTTTGTACTGTTGTTCATTTCTCTTTCACCATATTTGCCAGATCCAAACAAAGTATACATGTACAAGTTGTTAATCTGTGTATAGAAGACTATTTTACAGTTCCTCTGTTCTTCCTAGAATTAGAACTGTACCTGATCATTTCAGTTTTATATTCATGTAACCCATCTTCGCAAGTTTTGTGTTACTAAAGTACTCCCTTATGTTAGACTTATGGAGGACTTACCTATTCCTTAATAGTCTGTTCACAATGACTTAGCAGTACAGTGCCTACATGGTATTAGGGATTCTTTGAGTTTCTATGACTTTTTTTTTTTTTTTTTTTGAGACAGAGCCTCAAGCTGTCCCCCTGGGTAGAGTGACGTGGCATCACAGCTCACAGCAACCTCCAACACCTGGGCTCAAGCGAGTCTCCTGCCTCCGCCTCCCAAGTAGCTGGGAACACAGGCGCCCGCCACAACGCCCGGCTATTTTTTTTTTGGTTGCAGCCGTCATTGTTGTTTGGCGGGTCTGGGCTGGGGATTCGAACCCGCCACCTTAGGTGTACGTGGCTGGCGCCTTAGCCGGTTGAGCTATAGGCTCCGAGCCTCTATGACTTTTTAAAGTATTAACATCAGTGTCTTTGGTTCTTATTCTCCTGGCCTTCGTAAAAAATTAACTTATCAGCTTATTTTTCAGCTCTCACTCCCCACCCCCGAAGTTAATGAAATTGGATGTTAGTCTGATTGGGAACTACAGCTAACTACTGTTGTTACTCTGATGGAATTAAACATAACCCCTATGAGGCCAGGAGTTCAAAATTCAAGACCAGCCTGGGAAACATTAATAATGAGAGCCTTTTCTCTACAAAAATGGAAAAATTAGTCAGCTGTGGTGTCACGTGCCTGTAGCTGAAGCTACTTGGGAGGCTGCTACAGGAGGATCACTTGAGCCCAGGAGTTTGAGGACTTGAGCTATGATGGCACCACTGTACTCTATCCTGGCGTGACAGAGTGAGACCCTGTCTAAAAAGAATGTATGACCACATGAACTTTTTCTGCTTGAAAGCAGCGTTAGAAGAAGGTTGAATGCTCTAGGCCTAAGTGCTTTCAGATTCTAGCATATGCCTGATTTTTAAAACTGTCCTTGGATGCTCTTTCTGAACATCTTGTTCTCCTTTCCCTTTCTATCTAGCTCAGTGATTGGCGAATTTATTTATTTATTTATTTATTTAGAGACAGTCTCACTATATTGCCCTTGGTAGAGTACTGTGGCGTCACAGCTCACAGCAACCTCTAACTCCTGGGCTTAGGTGATTCTCTTGCCTCTGTAGCTGGGACTACAGGCACCTGCCATAATGCCCAGCTGTTTTTTTGTTGCAGCTTGACCAGGGCCGGGTTTGAACCCGCCACCCTTGGTATATGGGACGACATCGTACCCACTGAGCCACAGGCGCACACAGTTGGTGAATTTTTTAATGTACTTCCATTTACCATTGTTTTAAATGCCTTGCAGTCCCTTAGCTTACCCTCTCTATGCTAAATTTTGTTTACCAGTATTTTTCACATGATTAAATCTAATAGTCATTTAGTTTATCCTTAAAAGTTTTCTCCTCTGCTCTAGATATAATATGACTTTTGTGTTTTTCTCTCTGTGTCACCTTATTTACTTCCTACCCTTCCTTCTTTTGCTCTGTGTATGATTCTTTGAAGTTCTTCCAGTTTTTCCTTCCTTTCTATTGCCTTATGTAATGTCCTAGATTTGAATATAATTTTGTACGTCTAAGGTAACTTCTTTTTGATCTCCTTGGGTCTAATGTATAAGGGAGATGAAGTTTTGCCTGTTAGTAAAACAACTACATGAAGTTATTTATGTATCTTCTGTTGTATGTGTGTACATAAATGTAGGGTCTGGCAGAAGTGATACCCGTTTGTGCTTGAGTTTGATATTGTTATGCCACAAAATTACATACTTATGATTTTGTAATAAAAGATGGGTATAGAGTACCAGCTCATAAAAAATGGGCTTTATTTGTGCCATTATTTGTGTATGTAATTCTGTTATATAACAATGTCACACTCATACACAAAAGAGTGTTCCTGCTAGACCTTGTATATATATAAATATATAATAATGTTCTCTCCATATACATATATGTATGTATGTATGTATAGATAGAGAGAACATTATTTGACTAGATGTCTAATACTACCACATTTGGGGTCAGATATTATATATAAAGAGTGTGGTAGGAATTGGGAGTATTGATACACCCTGTAAGATTCTAGGTTAAGACTATCCTCTTAATATAATGTATTCCTGGATAATTTTAAAATAGTGAACATAGTAAGTCCTTAGTACAAATGATCTATTTTCCTTTTCTTAACCCTAGATGTCTCAGAAACTAGTGAATGATCAGGGAGAAGTAAAGTATATATGTTTTTTTCTTTTAAGGGTTTGGTAGAGTACATGCACAGTGTGTAGAACCATGAAGAAGGAGGGACAGGGCAATTGCTTGTAGGAAGGGCTTGGCAAAAATGCTTTTGTAATTTCTTTAGGCTATAGTGCCTATTAGAATATATAGTAATAATCATACTATGTTCCATTCTAAAACTCTAGGCCTTAGTCCAGTGGTTCTCAACCTTCCTAATGCCGTGACCCTTAATACAGTTCCTGTGGGTCACAACTTACAGGTTGAGAACCGCTGCCTTAGAGTTATCTTCATATTGATTTAATAGTTATTTGGCTGTTTCTTAATTAGTTTTAGGTAAAAGAGAACTGAGGTGGTCTGAAAGAGGACCTAATAAAGAGGACGTTTTTGAAAATGCAGGAGCCTAGAATGACTGTCACTGTCCTGGTGGCTTACTTGTTATCAAGCACATTGTACCCCACATGTGCATGAATGAATTCATGATATATGTGTATTTGACTTAATAAAATTAAAAAAAAATAACATGGAGCACTGTTATCTCCATTGTATTATGAGGAAACTAGTTTAGAGGGCTTCCGGACTTGTCTAGAATCACACACCTAGTTAAATGAGACAATAGCATTGACCACTTCTCAGAAAGCTTTGTCTTTAATTGCTTAGCTAAAGAAAGTGAGTCTAGGAATACGATTTTTTTTTTCCTGCCATAATAACATCATGTGTACAATTTCCTCAGGTTTTTAATTCCTCTCTTTCAGGGCTTTACTGGACTAAAAATAATAACAAACAAATGTGTTTAACACAATTGGGCAGGGAGCGTTTCATTTTCATTTTTAAAAAAACATGAAGAGAAAGTGAATACTTGTGGTTTTTTGATATCGTTTGCTGTAATAAATCTTGTAAAAGCTCAGGACTATTTGGAATTTTTTTTTTTTTTGACAGGTTTTTTTCCTCAGTTTTATCTTTCCTCTCTCAACAGCTGCAGGGAAGTCAATACTTGTGGTTTTTTGATATCGTTTGCTGTAATAAATCTTGTAAAAGCTCAGGACTATTTGGAATTTTTTTTTTTTCTGACAGGTTTTTTTCCTCAGTTTTATCTTTCCTCTCTCAACAGCTGCAGGGAAGTCAACATTTGTAAATATACTTAAACAAGTCTGTGAGGATTGGGAAGTGGTTCCTGAACCTGTTGCCAGATGGTGCAATGTTCAAAGTACTCAAGATGAATTTGAGGTATGAAAATAAAATTTTAGGAAATAAAAATAAGATCATTTTGGTTTGGAGGAGCAGTAGTATTTAATCCCTTGTTTTGTTTTTTTTTTTCTTTTTCAGTAAAACTTTCAAATCTAGTTTTAAGTCTGTATTTCCATCTGGGCCGTAGTTGCATGGCTGTGTATCTGTACAGGCTCCCTCTGTATCCACTGGGTTTTGCATCTCTGGATTCAGTCAACCATGAATTAAAAATATTTGGAAAAAAAATACTACAATAAAAATAATACAAAAAAAGAAGTACTGTGTAACAGCTATAACAGCATTTACATATATTAGGTATTATAAATTATCTAGAGATGACTTAAAATATATGAGAGAATAGGCATAGGTTATGTGCAGATTCTAGGCCATTTTATGTAAGAGACTTGAGCATCTGTGGATTTTGGTATCTCATGGGGGTTCTGGAACCAATCCCACACAGATGCCAAGGGATGAATGTATATGTAAACAGTCATGAAGCTATGCACTTAAGATTTGTGCACTTTCTTGTATCTAAGTAGTTTTTAAAGTTTTAAAAAAGTTAAAATGAGTAAACAATTTTTAAAAACTCTAATTGCAAGTTAAGTTCCTTGAGTAGCTTTTAACAAGCAAACAAGAAAAAAGTGAACAAAAAAAAATAAAAAAGATGACCCTATAACTGAGTTTTATCAGTTTACCTTTAAGCTTTTTGTGTTAGAAAACATCACTTATTTCTCATTTCTTTGTACTTTCCGTCTTTCTCAGACTTTCTCTCTGGGCACAAGTTTCAATTTCTCCGGCACTTTTCTGTTCTGCATTGCAAATAAGAAAGACAATAACAAATTTCATTTTTTTACAGAAAGTTTTTGGCTTTGAATATATTAGTGCTAACATTTTCATTTCTGCAGAAATGAGAATTGAAATTGAAAGCAGTAAAGCAGAAACCTTAATAGAAATGTATGCTAGAAACTTACTTTGTTTCAAGTGGAGAAAGAATTGAAAAAAATGTCTCCTAAAGTTTAAATGTTGGTATGAGGAATTCTGAAAACAGTAATTGTGTATTTAAAATGTGAATCACTAGCCAGATATTAGGTTTATGGTTTTGAATAATCATAAATACTTTTTGTCACATAGCTTTTATTTGCTATGCTTTGTTAACTTTAGGCCTGGGGCCCGGTTCAGTATACGCTAATCCTTAGAATAGCCAGGACCATATCGCAAAGGGACTTTCTTCCTGTATGGACCTCATTTTATTAAGACATTGATGTTTTATATCTGGTCTTTAGGGGAAAGGCATGGTTAGGGTTGGAGGGCAATAGAATTTTAAGGTGGCTAAATTTATTTATTTGCTTTTTCCCCATTTTTTTAGTAGACATATGTATTTATAGAAAAGTATATGACCCCAGTATATACGTATAGTTTGAAGAACAGGTATTTTTTTGTTTATTTTTTTTTTGAGACAGAGTTACTTTGTCACCCTTGGTAGAGTGCCTTGGTGTCACAGCTCACAACAACCTCAAACTCTTGAGTTTAAGAAATTCTCTTGCCTCAGCCTCCCAAGTAGCTGGGACTACAGATGCCCTCCACAGTACCGGGCTATTTTTTGTTGCAGTTGTTTAGCTGGCCTGGGCCGGGTTCATACCCACCACCCTCAGTGTATGTGGCCTCCCAGGTGCCTGCCACAATGCCTATTTTTTTTTTGTTGCAGTTGTCATTGTTGTTTAGCTGGCCCGTGCTGGGTTCAAATCTACCAGCCTTGGTGTATGTTGCTGGTGCCGTAACCACTGTGCTATGAGCACCCAGGTAAAGAACAGTCTTGTTTTTTTTTTTTGAGACAGAGCCTCAAGCTGTCCCCCTGGGTAGAGGGCCGTGGCATTACAGCTCACAGCAACCTCCAACTCCTGGGCTCAAGCGAGTCTCCTGCCTCCGCCTCCCAAGTAGCTGGGACCACAGGCGCCCGCCACAACGCCCGGCTATTTTTTGGTTGCAGCCGTCATTGTTGTTTGGCGGTCCAGGCTGGGGATTCGAACCCGCCACCTTAGGTGTACGTGGCTGGCGCCTTAGCCGGTTGAGCTATAGGCGCTGAGCCAAAGAACAGTTTTAAAGCCAACATCTTTGTAACAATTAATCAGGTCAAAAATAAAATGTTATCATCATTCCAGAAGTTTCTGCTTGTCTTTTTACAATCACAGTATTTTCTTCCATAAAGTAGTAACACTTTTAGGAGTAATCATTGATATAGTCTTTATTTGTTTATTTATTTTTTGAGACAGTCTTAATGTGTCGCTCTCAGTAGAGTGCAGTGGTATCACAGCTTACAGCAAACTCTTTGGCTTAAGTGATTCTCTTGCCTCAGCTTTCCAAGTAGCTGGGACTACAGACACCTGCCACAATACCGGGCTATTTTTTGTTGCAGTTGTTTAGCTGGCCTGGGCCGGGTTCATAACCACCACCCTCAGTGTATGTGGCTGGCGCCATAACCACTGTGCTATGGGTGCTGAGCCAATTGACATATTCTTATGATAGTAGTTTTCCTGTGATCTAAAAATGATTTGAGTATACATGAACATACCTAAGAAATGTAATTTAGTTTTGTCTGTCTTTGAATGTTATAGAAATGGAATTGCACTGTTTGTATTCCTTTTCTCTTTTACTTAATAAGTTTATAAAATTTGTCCATATTGTTGAATGCAGCTATAGCTTGTTCATTTTTGTTGTGATATATAGTATTTAATTTTATTTAATACTGTTTGTCTATTTTATACCTTTGAGTTTAGAGTGGTTTGTAATTTAGTTGCTCATATAAACAGTATTGCTCTGAACATGAATTCTGATGTACACATGTAAGAGTTTCCCTAGGAATAAGAAGTGAGATTACTGAGTGTGAGGGTATGCTTTAGAAACTCGTTTTCCAAAGTGGTTATCAATTTTCTCTCCTTACAGTATAATTAAGCTCTCATTAGTCTATTTCTTTGCCAACACTTACTGTTGTTTTGGTCCCTAATTTTTGTCATTCTGCTGAGTGTTTATTATCTTTTATGTTTTAAATTTATATTTTCCTGATTGCTAATTAGATTGTATTCCTTTTTATATGTTTATTAGCCATTTGGATCTCTTTGGTGACGTTCCTGTTCAGGGCTTTTCCCCATTTACCTCTGGGTCATCTGTTTTATTTCTCTGACATTTTTACCTCCCAAAATATGTTTAGTGGCCTCTGGATTTTTAAAGCCTTTCATTAAAATGCCAATTCAAGTTTGTATACCTTTTAAAATGAGAGATTTGAGTTCTAAAAACACCATTTTTAGTCATGGGCTCCCCACTTTGGGAGGTGAGAGGATCACTTGGTTTCAGGAGTTCAAGACCAGCTTTGGCAACTTAGCAAGACCCATCTCTACAAAGATAAAAAGTTAGCCAGATGTGGTGGCATGCACTTATGTCTAAGCTACTTGGAAGGCTGAGGCAGGAGGATTGTTTGAGCCTAGCAATTTGAGGTTGTGGTGGACTATGTTGACACCATTGCGCTCTAGCCTAGGAGACCAACCAAGAC